GCGGGATGCTTAGAGTGGGCAGAAAGAAATCTTCCCAGGCAAAAAAGCAAGGCAGCAGACCCTACACATTACAAGGTCAAATCTGTCCCAGGTCATGGGCATGTTGCAGGACTGGGCAAAATTGTATCCTGTTGGGCATGTGCATGAGGTTTCTGTGGATTAGGTTCTGACCACAACAAGAAACAATAAACATGAATTACAATCTCTGTGTAAACAGAGAAACAAAAGCACAGAGAAATGGAGGACTAGCGGAGCTCAAATACTCTAAGAGTCTAAGGTTTATCATTTGGATGTTTTTTCCTAGCCAATCATTAGCTGTTTATTTTGTGCTGAAGTAGTTATTATAGTAAGGAGAGATATTAGGATGGGCTACAAACCCTACCTTACTGGAGGAGGCTTATGTATGTGCATGAGATCTCAGTGCTGGGTGCTTTCTCTTGTGGAACGCTTGCCTGAGACACAGCATCCAGCCTACATCACCCACAGTCACTATCCATCTACATCCTAGTCCATTGCTCATCAATGAGTTTCTGCAAAACCAGCCAGCATACCCACATCACATGAGTCATTCCCCTGATGGGGGAGATCTTCTGGAGAATCACCAAACCCAAGGGCCATCAAGGAATTGGGGAACTAAGCCACAAATGGAGCTGTAAATATCAGGAATTATGGTTTTATTCTGCTGGTTAAATGTTTGGGATTACGTTGACCTGAGACATCTTGGAAATAGTCTACAGCAGGACAAATGATAAAAATGCATACACAGACACACACTGACTCAGAACTTGAATTCTTGCACTGTTTCTTTCCTTACTTCTTCCTCCCTCTCTCTCTTCTTCTTTCTCTTCCTCTCTTCATCAAAGGAAGAGTTGAAAGAGCCAGCTCCTGTGGACCTCTCACTCACTCCCTGCATGACTGGACCATTTGCTTAGCTTTCTGAGCCCAGATTGTCCTCATCTAAAATGAGAACTATTGTGCTGTCATAGAATTGTAGAAGATTAGAATGATACACTGCTGAGCAGACACAAAAGCTAACACTACGGCCATCTGGTCTCTTCTCACTCATGGTAACCCTCCAGTGACTGTCTGAGACAGTCGGTGTTTATGAGAAGAAGCTATTTCATCTTTCTCCTGCAGAGTACCTGGTGGATTGGAACTGCCGACATTTTGTTTAGCAGTTCGACTCACAAGGCACCAGGCCACCAGGCCTCCTTAGGGGCTAGCATATAGACATTCAGTGGAGATTGGTCCCCACATTCCTTCCTTGCAATTTGTTTATGGGATCACTGGAAAATCCTCAATGAGATGGATTAACACAATAACTGCCACAGTGGGATTAAGCACAGCAGAGATTATGAGGCTGGCCCCTAAGTCTCCATCTGTTGGATCCATAGCTGACCCTCTAGTGGGTTTTCAGAGGCAGCAAATCATACAGGAGGAGATCTTTCTTTTGAAGAGCAGCTGGTGGATTCAAACCATGTGCCTTTGGGTTGGCAGAACGATTCTTTACTACTAGGCCACAAGAGACCCCTGCATATAAGGATACTATGAATTAGAGCTGACTGGACAACACCCCACAACAATAACAAGAATGAAGGCTTTCATTATACCTTCTTCCATCAGTCTGTGGGTGTGGATTAAGATTCAGGGTAGCTCTGAATGTTGTGACTTGTTCACACTTATCTAGTGATGATAGGAGTCCAAAAGGTAGAAGGATTGAACCCACCAACTGCTCTACAGGAAAAACACATGGCAGATTGTTTCTGTAAAGACTTCAAGCCTTGAAAATACCATGAGGCAACTCAACTCTGCCATAACAGGACCATATATATTAGGAGCACTAGTGGTGTAGTGTGTAGGGGGTTGTGTTACTAACTTAAAGGCCACACCTCTCTGTCAGTTCAAATCTCCTAGCAGCTTCATGGGAAGAAGATAGGCAGGCGATTTACAGTCTTAGCACCAATCCTCTGGAGGGGTAGCTATGAATTGTTTTCAATTCAATGACAAATTGGAGAAAGAGTAGTTGGAATTGACTCAACAACAATGTCATGGATTAAATTGTGTTCTTCAACTAGATATGTTGTGATATGTTTTGTACCTGTAAATGTGATTTTGCAAGGAAATGGGGTCTTTGAAGGTGTCATCAGTTAACATAATGGAATATTAGAGTAGCATTAGTGGAAGCAGGAGCAGCATCCACTTCCAAAATGGCTTGCCTCTGGAAACTCTAAGTACGAATAGTGCTCAGGCTGTTCGTTCATAGGGTCGCTATGAGTCGTCTACGACTCGACAGCATTAAACAACAACAAACAACAAACAGAGTAGCATGGCTCCTAATTCAATGCTCTTAGCGTCAGCAGTCAGGAAATAAAAAGATGAATTGCATTGAGGAAATCTGCTGTCAGGGACCTCTCCAGAGTGCCGAGGAGCAATGATGTCAGTCTAGAGACTAAGGTTCACCTGACCAAGGCCATGGTTTTTGCAATTATATGTTACACATCAGAGAGCTGGACAATGACTAAAGATGACAGAAGAAGAATTGATGCCTTTGAGTTGTGGTGCTGGAGAAAAGTATTGAACATACTGTGGACCACCAAGAAAACAAATAAGTCTGTCTTAGAGAGGGTTAAAGCAAGTTTCTCCTTGAAGGCAAGGATTCTGAAGCTCCGTCTTATGTACTTTGGGAGTGTGGCCAGGAAGACAAGTCCTTGGAGAAGGACGTTATGTGTGGAAGGGTGGAGGGACAGCATAGACCCAGGATGAGGATTGGCACAGTTACTGGCACAATGAGATTAGATCTGTCAGACAGTGAGATTAGCTCAGGATAGGGCAGGGTTCAGAGCTGTTGTACATTCGGTCACTATGAGTCACAGGTGACTTCATGGCACATAACAACAACATAGTCCTAATTTAGAATGAGTGGCATTCTCGTAAGAAGAGAAGAGGCACAGGTATGGAGGAAGACATTGGAGACATTCTCGGCTAAGAATGTCAAAGATTGCTAGGAACTACCAGAAGGTGGGGGAAAAGCAATCTTCCCATGGATTCTTTCAGATAGCACAGCTTTGCTGGCACCTAGAATGCAACTTCTGGCCTCCAACTAGAAGTTTAAACCATCTAGCTTGCAGTATGTTATGAAGGTAGTCCTATGTAGATTGCTATGTACGTTGAAGCACTTATTACCAAAGATCAAAGAATATGGATTCTACTTCAATATGGATTAAATCTCAATGCTAAGGAAACAAAAATTTTGACCTCTTTACTGATAGGCAACATCATAATATATGGATAAAAGATGGAAACTGTCAACAACTTCATCCTACTTGGATGTACAGTCAATACCTTTGGTATCAACAGGTAGAAAAAGTCAGGAGATGCACTGTAATGGGGAAGTCTGCAGTCAGGGACTTCTCCAAATTATTGAGGACTAAGGTGTCTCTGAATCAGGCCATGGTCTTTCTGATCATTTGCTAAATATCTGAGAACTGGACAATGAGCAAGATGACAGCAGAACAATTGATGTCTTTGAGCTGTGGTGGTGAAGAAAAGTATTGAACATTAAATACGTCTTGGAGGAGATGTGGCCGGAGTGCTCTTTGGAGGCAAAGATGATAGTTTCACCTCACATGATTCAGGCATTTTGCTAGAAGGGGCTATTTTTTCGAGACGGACATGATTCTCAGAAAGGCAGAATGTCAGCAAAGGAGAGAAAGACCCTCAATCAGGTGTATTGACACAATGACTGCTGCAATGGGCTCTAGTGTGTCAGGGAGAGTTAGGATGGCATAGGATAGAACAGAGTTCATATCTGCTGCTCACAAGGTCACTATGGGTTGTACTCAACTTGATAACCCCTAACATCAACAACAATAATGTACAATATGAGTCTGGTTGGCAGTTTAAAATTACCTGGCACCAATATGGAAGGAAACACCTGATGATCTGTTCCCATTAAGACCACAGCTAAGGACTGATTAGATAACATTAAGGTAGATGGAGAAAAGATGGAAATTGTCAAGGATTTACTTTTACTTGACTCTACAATCAACACCCATAGCAGTAAAGCCAAGAAAAAAAAGGTCTATTGCATTGGCAAATTCTCTTGTCAAGGACCTCTCCATAGGACTGAAGAAAGTTGACAGTGGGAACATAATTCATGCCATAGCATTTTAATTTTTCCACATACATGCACAAATTGGACAATGAATAGAGAAGACTGAAGAAATAATGGTGCCTTTAAAAAAAATAAAATAGAATATACCATGTAACACCAAAAGAGCAAACACATCTTTGAGGAAGGGCATGCCCAGTGCACTTAGAGGCGAGGATGGTGAGCTTCATCTTGGATACTAGGAGCGTGTTGTCAGGGGTGCCAGTCCTTGGGAAAACATCACCCTGGGAAAGGTAGAGGGCCAGTGAAGAAGAGGAAGCCCTTCAGTGAGAGGACTGACACAGTGCATTGTGAACATTGTGAGGATGGTGCAGAACAGGACAAGGCTTCCATCTGTTGTCCATACTCAACTCATCAGCCCCTATAACAACTCAGGTAAGAAAAGGCCAGGAGCTCAGCTCTCAGCTGTAGTGCATGAGGTCACCATGACTCAGAAGTGACTCAGTAGCAATCTGCAAGAACAAGAAAGAAACACCGAGACCCACAATGAGGGCTCAGCACCAGGAATGTGAAGGACTGTGGCATTTGCATGAATATAAGGAAGGCTTCCTTGGAGGTAGCTGTAGCTGGGTCTTACAGAATGAGCTTGCCTTAACAGGAAAAGCTACATGGAAGACACACAGAATCGTGAAGGATTGGGTGTTGGCTCTTTGTGCTCTAGTGTAAGTTATATAAACGAGGCTGTCTGTGGAAGGGACTGGAAGGACTCAGTGCATCCCCCACCTCTTGCAATCACCGGGATAAAGAACGATGACATCAGCCAGCAGGCTCCAGCTCTCTTTGCTGGTTGTCTGAAGCCAGTAAAAGGGGAGCAGTAAGTTACACTCACCTCATTTCCTCTCAGTCCTGTTCCCAGTGCGAATTGCTGATTCCCCTCCAGGAAGCGAATTTTCACATTGTAGACTTTGCTTCCATGAAACACCACCAGGACGTAGGGCTCAGTGCTGGATTTTGAGGAACAGTCCCGGACCAGAAAGGTACCATCCTGGAGGGAGAAAAAAAGGAAAGTCATCTTCTCAGGCCTGTCAACTCCCCATTGGTGAATCAGTGCTGCTTATTATGAGATTCCCCACTGAGAACCTTGCTGTTACACTGTCAACCCAGAACCCACCCACAGCTAACTCTCCAGTGGGCTTTCAGACACGGTAAATCATGAGATAGTGGAGGGAGACTGCCCATCTTTCTCCTACAGAGCAGCTGGTGGATTCAAACCGTAAACCTTTGTGTTGGCAGTACAACTCCTTACCACTAAGCCACTAGTCTACCAGATTATCTGAGAGGCTGGGCTCTATGAGGAGAAGTGTGGCGTCAGGATTGGTGGAAGATCTATTAACAATCTGTGTTATGCAAATGACACAACC